GTAATTAATGGTATCACCCAAACCCCTGTGACTCAGATTTCAGGACAGATAATGCTGATAATTAATATTAAGATGTTGACAGTTGCCTAAACTAATTCTGCTATGTTTTAAGTCATAAACCAGACTTGTTTTGCAGAAACCGTTCACATTATTCAGGGATATTGTTATTAACAGTACGAAGGGGTAAGCATGAGGTCATAAAGTGTATGATTCAGTGACCCATTTTGACCACAGTTATGCATTAGAGATATTAATGAGAAGTCTGAAAAGTGAATTGGCAGTGCATGTAGATCTAACCACAGCAAAGGGCCCTCCGAAGCAGTGCCACAGAAACTTTGCCATTTATCTTCTTTATCCACTGATGCAGATGTAAATTAAGGTTCTACAGGCTGATTAGCCGGTGGAGAGCTCCTGTCTAGATGGTCTCCCAGCACAGTGCTTCCGGGAGAAGAAAACTCCTCAGCTTTTCCTTTGGCGGATCTGATCTGCAAGCGATTCCAGTGCAGGTTGCTTGTAAGGCTTCTTTCTTCTTTCTTTTTTTTTTTTGTTGTCGTGGTTGTCAGATGTTCGTTGTATCGCAATGGTCTTGTTTTTGCAGCACAGGTTTTATTATTCAATTTCTTTTACTGGAATACTGTCTGATCAGAGAGGTTGGACCAGTTGACCTCCAGAGGCTCTTTCCAGCCTAAACTATTCTGTGAGTCTATGACCAGTATGGGTCAGGACTCTGTTTAACGTAACTTATCTGCTGTGGAATCTGTTCTGCCAACAGAAGCCTACTGAGCCACAGCGTGGTGAATATTAATAGGTTGCTTATTTAATGCAATCAATCAGTACAAACTACAGACTGCCTGAGGCTGGAAAAAGTATTAATGTCCTCACACTTCTGACTAGACATCTGCTCCTAGAGATGACACAGGGGAAGATGACCTGTGCCGTGGCTCTTAGGTCCTCGGGTTACATGCAGGGATGAATACATAACAGAGAGTGCATGTTACCTGAGTAAGTGTAATGCTGATGAATCTCTGGTCTGGGTATGACTGGAGAATAGCAAATGTAATGCCTGTAGTTAAGAAAGGAAAGAAAAAATCATTTGGTCTGGTATTGGGTCTTCAGACTTGCAAGTACATGTTCAAGGAAAAAATAGGTTTATATAGTTTAATGGAGAATAGATGGAATGCAACATGGATTTATAGACTAATTTTTCACTATGTGTCTGATTGCCTTCTCTGCCTGTCTCTGTGAAGATGATAACATTTTTGGAGAGAAGGCTTATTTAGGCACGGTGCAAATCAGTACGAATTGTCCAAGACGAACAATGGCTGAATATTTTTAACAGTCAGAATAATGGGGCTGTGTAATTGCCTTTCTGTCTGAATACCAGGCAGCAAGACCTAAGGTCTTAAGACAGAGCATGCTTGTAACAGTACACGTTTCTGGCAAGCGCAGGAAGTCAAAAGTGAAAGCAAAAAAATTGCTTTCAGGCAATTTAAGATATTTAAGATACTGCTGGCTTACTTCTGTTACGCTGACTCAGTTTTGTTGCCCTCTAAGGAGAAGGGCTCTTTCTGCAGGTGTAGACATTCAGCCTTCACCCTCCTCTTCTCTTAGGAGTGGGTGACTATAGAAATAAAAACAGACTGGACACAGAAAAGCTCTTCAGAATTGTGGGAAGACAGCTGTGTGTCTCTCCCCAGCAAACCTAGGTAAGCTAAGCTAGCAAGGAAAGCTGAGACTTGTAAAAGGGAGCTGGCTGGAGGGAGGCATTCTTTTCCCAGTCCCTTGCTTTGGTTCTGTGACCGCCCCGAGGGCAGGCACTGGGCACAGCCCTGTGTATTGCCTGTAGCTACCTGGTAGTTTGCCAGATGCGGCTGTAGACCTTGGCTGTAGCGTGGTACGGAGAGGCTACGTGGGCAGAGTATGCGCCTGTGTCTGCACATCAGCTTGTAAGTAAAATAAATTGCTAATAATAAGGAGCTTAAAAAAATGTATTTGTAGGCCCAGCAGAGAACAGTGTAGGTTCATCATGCTGAAAGACAGGTAGCATCTCTCATACAAATGTCAACACATCCTTATGCAGAAGAGCGTGTCCTCTCAGTGTACTGCCCCTTCCCATCCTCCAAAGATGTCTGGAGCTGTGGTGACACGAGGAATGATCTGCCTTTTTTTTTTTTTTCTCCTCCCCCCCTGTTGTTTTTGGAATAACCTTAAGTGGATTATATCCCAGCAGAGGGAAAGGTAGGCTGAACTCACAGGTTACCTTTTGCTCATCTTGCCATCCTCAGTGGCCTGGCAGGGAACAGCAGCAGTGTGCAGGATGGACATGGTCTGGGTTTTGATGTTATTTGTCACATCAAGACCAGAGAAATGACTGTTTCCAAGAAGTGTCAATGACTCTGAAAGTGGGTGGGTGAACCAGTAGGGTAGGGAAGCAGTATCTTCCATTGGTACTGAGCAAAATGGCACAAGAACATCCCCTCCACCCCTCCATCCTCACCAGATCTTTACAAAATGAGCTACAAGGCCAGCCCCGTGAGCAGAACCTGATGGATGAACTGTTGTTCATCCATTGCACTTTGCTGGGTCCGAGATGGGGAGGAAGAAGCTCCAGGGCCATTTTCCTCTGTGTCCTCCATGACCAGCAGCCTCCTCCCCTTGGGGCAGGCCCCATAACAGCGGGCACCTTGTGGGGCCTTTCGGCATCATTGTCATGGGAAGGCACAGCACAGTTTTTAACACAAGTGAGCTGGTCTGTCGGCTCAGTCATCAGAGGTTGGGAGAGGTGGGGGTCACAGACCTGTTTCACTGGTGGGTTGGTGATTTAGGGGCATATTGCACGCTCTTACGCCCTGGCCCCCAGTTAGAATGGAGACCTGCTTGGCTGCCCTGCAGCTGCTGACCTCCGCGCCCTGGTTTTCTTCCCGTGTAACCCAGGATCGTGGGCAGAGGAGGGTGGTTTGCTGCATGCCTAGGTCCCGTCTCAGTGTGTATTCAAGTTGTGATTGTTGGATTGATTTGATGTGCAAAGCTTCTTTAGAAAATAAATAAATAAAAAGAACAGGCACCATTTTCTAACAAGTAATGTCATTTAATGAATGATACTCTAGAAAATAGAAACTACCCAGATGCTCGTTGATCTGTTTGGGGCTGGAAGAAGGCCCTTGCTTGGATATACAATGTCTTCTCTGGATTATTTTATCAGCATTTGTAGTTGCTGGAAACAAAGAAATGTTCGTATATTGAAAGAGACGCTGAGGGAGCAATTTTTTTCTAAAATGTGGGTAGTATGCAGAATGCCTTCCCACCCTGTCTTATTGGGCAAGTGGCATGAAGGGCTCAGAGCTCACCAGTATCTTTACAGATGTTTCATACCTAAAAGGGGTGGACTCAACCAACGGTACCTACCACAGTTCAGTCCTCTCAAATCATCGGAGACCTCTCACTTTGCAGAGCATCTTGTGGGCTCCGGTGGTATTGCACCTCTTTCTGGGTGCTTTTCTGCACATGTTGTGTCTCTTCCCTCAAAGTCTGGCTGCTAATTCCAGGGAATATGCTTTTCAGAATGTCACAGTACACCGTGTACAGCTCTGGGTCTATTTTGGGCTTGGGCAGAGATCGGGAGTTGCAGGCCTGTTCAGTGACTGAGTGCTGTAGCAAGTAGACATCGCTGAAGAGTGCAGTTAGAATCTTGTGTGCAGCCTTGTAAGGGTCATCTTCAAACTGCACCATTGCCTTGAGCTCCATCAGGGTGTAGCCGTTGTAACGCTTGCTGTCTTCGGCCAGAGGCTGCACAGTCTCACCAATGTGCCTCACTTTCCACTTCAGGCATTTCAGTTCTTCTTTTACATCCTCTAGTTCTTTCTCCATGGCTTGGAATTCCTTCGTGGTTACAAATCTCCTGCCAAGGAAAGAAGTGGCAGACACAGTGTGGAGTTCAGAGGCTCACAGGAGTGAAATCAACCCAGCTTGTCTGGGGTCGGACCACAGAGCCTGAGGTTTGGGAAGGGAGATACCGGCCATGTCACTGAATACCATCCCCAGCTCTCACCTGTCAGGCTTCATAGTAACAGCAGAGGTTCTCTCTGCTAGTATAGGGAGAGATGTGCTTTCTCATTTGGAAGGAAATGAGGCACCTTGAAACTGTGCTGTTGGAGGAGCTGAGGTTGATAACCTGGCCCAGGGATGGTCTGTAATCAGGTCTGGAAAGCTAAATGAATGTATGGAAAATATGGTGGTTTGCTTCTTGGATAACAGGGTTTAGTGGGAGCACAGGGTAGTTGCTGGAAAACAAACACCTGGAACATCTAAATCATAAAAGATACTTAACTTTTTTCTACAAGGGGCTCTTAATGACCCTGTACCAAGTTGAGTCATTTGAGGACTTAAACATGTGTATGATCTGGATACGTACCTTTCATGATCAGGATCTTCCAGATCTGATTCAAAACCCTTTCCTGTATTCTTTAACCCAGTTTTAGAGTAGCCAGGAGACTGGGAACTATCTTCAGGAGTCATTGTTGCTGGAGGCCTTGTGCTTTTCCTGGTTGGGGTCAGTGTGTGATCTGATGCTGAAGCTTGTACGTTTTGTGCTGTGTGAGGACAAAAAGTGTAGAAGGAAGTTGCATTGATCCCTGGACTGACTGGAGAGGAGTCAGAGTATTGCTGTGGCTTGGCTGAGCTGGGTGTTAGACTGAGCCTGGGGCTGGCTAGGCAAGATGCTGGAATAGTCCTTGCTCCAAGTGGGCTGGAACACGATATTGCTAAACTTTTATCTCTTTGCTCAAGTGGTTGAGGGTTTGGTGATTCTCCTGGGGCCAATCTAGTGATGGAGGCAATGTCCAGCAGGGTTTGATCCTGAACCATGGAGAACTGGCTGGTCGATTCTGATGAAAGTGAAGAGGAAGAGCTGCTTGATGTGTCGCTGGAAGAGCTTGACATAGCGAATGGGGGTATTTTCTGAGCATTATGGTCACTCCTGTTCTTCTGTGTGCTAGTGGCATTTAGAGCTGGGTGTTGTGAAGCCCTAAAGAAAGACAAACACACACTTTTTTTTTTTTTTCCTCTGGACTGGGCTAATGGCTTATAAGACAATTTTGGGACAATTTTTAAGCCTGTTTCCTATAACTGCGTTTCCCCATAGGCTGATTTACTTCTCATGTCTGTGTAAAACCCTCTGCTTGTCACGTCCAACAACAAAGTGTTGGAGAATAAGGCACATAAATTCAGGACCAGTTCCTCCCTGGTGCCAACTGAGCATTTGTCAGCTATCATCAGTGTGATAACACTGGCACATCAGTGTTCTCCTTCCCAAAAGTCATACAGCTCTATGAGAACCAAGGATTTGGTGCTGGGGAAGGACAGAAAGGGAAGCAAGCTACTGGCACATTGACTGTGACAAATTCCAGTAAGAACGCAAAAGGATAAAACCTGGCTTGCAGGCTGCCACAGCACCTGCCCTTGGTCAGCCCTGCAAAGTGTGAAGACCTACCTTCACCTTAGACCCACACGCTTTAGTCTCCTGGTAGCTCTGCATGGTTACCCAGTGAAATAGGGGAAAAATAAATAAGTAGGCAAGATAAAAACAGAAGGGCAGCACAGAATGACATCGTTGTTCCTGTGGTGACATTGTAGGACATTTCTTTTGTACAGCTCAGTGTGTTAAGGACTTTTCTTCCCCCACCTAAGCTGTAGACTGTGTACAGGGCTGACCAGCTATTCTAGGTGTCTGGAAATGCCAACCGTATGGGATGCCAGACTACCCCTCCTGAATATTGCTTCCCGTACTTTTCTCCTGGCTGCTGCCAGGCAGGAGAGATCTCAGTGCTCTTTTTTCTACGGCTAAGTTTTACTTAGTTTGGCAAGATTGATGGCAAGAGAAGAAGATGTACCCCTGTAGAATGGCATTGTCCTAATGGGTAGTGAATGCAGCTAGAAATGCCTTGACCTTGAAGGGGAACACAAACATACCCACTGTGCAGATCATGATTCAGGATTTCTAACAGCCAAAGGACATGACAAGCTTTTGCAGCAATACCAGTGATCAAGTGAGTCTTCTTGTGCATCTGGTGTATTCGTATTCCTCTTGTGGTGGAAGACAGCAGAAAATCCTGGTCTGGATGGGTTATACAAGATCTAGTCCATTAAGTCCTGTCCTGTTAGTACCGGTGGCTTGAATTAGCTACGTATTCACTTCTCTGCCTCTCTGCACTTTTCTCAGTGTTGGATGTGATTAAATGCCAAATTTTTAAGGTCCTAAAGAGCATGCCTCACACCTATTGGCTTCACTAGTGTTAATTAAGGCCCTTGCTAGATCACTGCATAATTATCAGGTTTAAATCAAATTTAGAGTTTTTGTAATTGAAAAAGCAGACAATAACAGAGCTACTGCAGAAAAACAGAGCCAAAAAAGAAGCGTAAAATGAGTTATATGAAAGACAGGAGAAAATCAAGAACACACACCCTCCCCCAGAAGTGCCGTGCTTTCATAAATGGGCTGAACAAGGGTAGAAGACAAGAATTGCCAACTAGATATGAGGAAAAGCTCTTTCCCCCTGAGGGTGTTCAAACACTGGTAGAGAGGCCAAGAGAGGTATTGGGATCTCCATCCTTGGAGGTATTCAGAACGCAGCTGGACAAGGAACTAAGCAGCCTGATCCAGCCTGGTCTAATGGACATGCTGTGAGCGAGGGACTGGACTAGAGCCCTCCAGAGGCCCTGTCCACCCTGTGTTATTCTGTGATTCAGTGATTCTGCCTAGCTATGAAAATAACCTGTTTCGCCCACAGTTTGCCTCTCTCCTTTCATTTCCCGCCCCCCCCCCGAGTCCCCTCTCACTATCCATTGGAGCCTCTGGGCCGTCCCCGTCCATATTGACTTTATAGTGCCTGTTGCAGGAAAGTCCTTCATAAATAAAAAGGTTTTTAAAGGAAAAACAGTGCTACTTGCAGCCCTCTGGCTCAGCTGGGCTGCTACCCCTTCTTTGCCGAAGTCAGAGTCGGTAGCTCAGGCCTTTGGAAAAGTGGGCTGTGGGGTGAGGGTAGCTAGAGCAAACCCCATTTCAAGGCAACTAAAATAAAAACGTAACTTTTTTGTTAAAAATATGTGTATTTGTCCTCAAATATCTTACAGTGTAAAACTATCTGAACATTAAGTGAGCAACAATCCCTACCTGCTTTCTGGAGGGAAAATATAATACGCACAGTAACTGAAAGGCTATTTGGGTGCGTATACAATATGAAAAACTTCATTACACAACTCTAGCAGTGTTGGACAGGGCTGGCTTTTTTGTGGTGGGGTTTGGGTTGATTTTTTTTTTTTTTTTGCACAAATCCAGGATTAGCTGTAGGAGATGGAACACTTATTGAAAGATGCAATTTAAAAGAGTGACAGAAAACACGTTTCATAACTAATCTCACTGAAATTTATGTAAGAAATGTTTCCAATTCATCTGTGCACTGGAGAAAACAAAAAGTATTATAATCACTTTATTTTGCTCTCCTTTTCCACCCTTTAATTTTCACTGGCTGCAGTACTAAACATGGGACTGAATTTCCTTTTATCATCATGCTTATCTCAGAAGCAGAGGAGCTGGTTGCTTAAGAAGCAATCTGAAGCTTGTTAAAGCAAAACGTCAGTCTGGATTTTAGCAGAGGTAAATGAGGACAGAACTGAGACCTGTAACTTTGGAGTTTCCTAGTGGGCAAGGGTTTGCCTGAAGACAGGAATGCAGTTCCCATTGCTTTCAATATAGCAAGGCTGGATCTTAGATCTGTAACCACATGCTTTATCAGAGGGGTTTTTTTTCCACCTGTTTTTATGTAGTGAATCACCATGAACTGAATAAATTACAGGAAGAATTGCAAGACCTGGAGTTGAAATCAATGCTGACATGAAATAGGAAGGTGATTGCAGCTGTCAGGTACCTCCACAAGGCGAAACCTTGACTCAACTTTGAGCGACACTTCAAATGCATCAAGCCCTCGTTGTCTGCCTTCTTCCAGCCCCGTGCTGCTCAGCATATAAAGCATGTTCCCCGTTGTCAGAGTGACCTTGTCTGCCGTCTGTGCCTTGCCCTCTCCAGCTGAGCTTGTGCAAGAGGCTTTTTGTAGCACTGAATTTGGAGACATCTGAAAGTTGCCTGCAAATCCAGCACCACCTTCCTTCTGTAGCAACCAAGAAAGAAACAGTGGATATTCTTTTTATATGAATCGTTTCCACCATGTTTTAAATTTAGAGTTCTTCTGATGATCTTGTTTGAATAGGAAAAAATGACAATATGCCTTACAGTGAAGCGCTGAGGGGCTGGTTGCATATATCTTACTGTAGACAGCCAGGGGTGGGAGGATGGTAGAAGAGCTGTGGGATGGACCCAGGGGAAATGCCTGCAGGGTGATGATATGAGAATAAAATATTTTTTTTTAAAAGCTCCCTCTTTGTCAGGTGACCCTCCTAAAATGCCCACACTGCCAAAACAGTGACTACATTATTTTTTTAATGCTGAATTAATTTTGAATAGTCTTTCAGTTTTCTACAAGAAGAGCTGGTGTCCTGGACCCTGGGTTTATCTGCCTCAAATAACAACCAAGGCTTTTAGCCACAGATAGTAAGAATATGCTGTTTCCTGCTCAGCTCTTCGCTCTTCTGAGCTACCCATCTCCTCTTTGGGTTTGCCACCATACTTGTCCCTCCTTGTCCTTTGTGACATTTCTCTCTTACCCCTTGTTCTACATCTATCATCCCTGATGGGGTCATGCCCTGTGGGTCCCAGGCACATTGATTTCGGCAGCAAGCTCATCATATTAATGCCTGGTGGTGGGAGAAGGCTGGAGGAGAGGGTAAAAGTGGCATGGACATACAGATGTCTGAAATCAGGTACAATTGCTGTCTGGATCCTAATAACAGTAACCATTTCTCGGTAATAAATAACTGCAACAACAAAAAAAATCCTGATGTGAAACTTTTGTCATTTTTGTGTAGCGACTGTGCACAATTGAGATCTCCCAGCCCTGCACAGCTGAAAGAAAAAGTGGAGGCCTCCAAGGTCAAAAGTGACAGCAACTAGACTATTAAGAGTGTTCAGAGCTTTGCATTGGAAATGCTAAGTTTGGTATGAAAAAAAAATGACTGGGGATATTAGATGTATAGGGGCCAGCACCATATGTTTGCACAGGAAGGCAGCTTGTTAAGAGCAGAGGATGCCAATTTATAGCTAGAACACCCTGATGCTGTTCTTAGCCTGGCTCAGGCAAGTTTAAACCCTGTTAAAGGAAAATTATAGTTTAGTGATGGACATTAAAGGGTTTAATATAGAATTATCAAGACTAAATATTGCATTGCCCCGATCAAGACTCTCTGGAACCAAAATTCTGATGAAATTTATAATTTAAGGCCAGCCTCAAAACGGATAGCTTAGTCTCGCCAACCTAAGAACCTGAGATCCTGCCCTGGTGCTGGCCTGGCATAAGGCCCTTTGTGCTACCTGTGCTCTCACAGTGCTCCTGGGCTGCTCACAAACCTTTAATATTCCTTCTTCTGAAATCACCTGGCCAGTTAGTGTTTGTATTCTATGATTGCTCAGTCTTGTTCTTTTATTTAAAGCTTTTACTGTTTCACTCTACAGCGGCACTTCCCCAAAACCCTTGCCTGTCCACAAGGACCAGATGCCCTGTTTTGTCTTTGTGGAAGGACAGAATAAAAGCGTGATGCCTCAGGATGAGTGAATATTCCTTATATGCTGTTTGGTTCAAATTAGAACAGCCTCAGAGCATTTCGAAGTGAGGGCAGCTGACAGGTCCTCCAGGGAATGAAATGCTGCTGGTTGAAGCGAAAAGCAGAAATAGCTTCTGATGGTAAGTCCTTGTGTCCTACTGGTACAGGACCACCTCTGTGTGAAGAGTTCAGAAAGACCTCAAGATGATCTGCCAGTATTTACCATCTGCCATCCTGAGCAGAAGTAATTAATGCTTTTTCCTCCCTATAAGCGTGAATAATGAAGATTCTGGAGCTTAAGTTGGATTCAAAAGTAAACTGTGAACAGAGAGCAGAACTTCACTCATGTCACTTTATTAATATTGATCAGATTTCATTACAGTAGGTAACTGATGTGAAGCTGAAAATTATGTAATATTGAAGAATGGCCACTGTTCTTTAACCTGATACTGGACTTTGCAGTTTGCTTTTACAGCGCTGTCAGCACACATATGGAGGTAAGCCCTGTGTCCTTTCAACTGAAGTACTGGGGCAGGGCTGGGGGTAGGAATAGAAACACCTGATGTCAAGAATTGTTATTTGTTCTTTGAAACAAAGACCTTTGGACAGTCTTCATAATGAAGTAAGCATGTTTGAGCACTAGCCAGTAGCTTGGTAGCTAGGGAATTTTCTTGGGAAATACGACCCGGATCCATTTTGTACTAACAGACATTTTCAGGACAGTGAAAATGAAGGATGTGGATCTACGTGTGGAAAGGTCCATAACCGACATGACATTTTCAAGGAGCAGGAGTTACCAAGTGAGTAACTTGGTTGAAAGCTGATCACAAACCAAGCTGGAGAGCAGTGCTAGCACTGTCATGCCTGTGGGGGGACCACCTGCAGTGACATTGGACTGGAGAGCTGTTCCAGCAGGTCTGATGAGGGATCAGGAACCTGAATTATTAGGGTTATGGACACCAAGCTTCCATGAGTATGTGGCTGAGATGTGCATCTCAGCAAGACAGAGGCAGTAAAATGCTATGAAGTACCCGCATTTTAACAGCGCAGAGTCAGCAAGTCGCTTTCCCAAGTCTCCCTCCTGATGAATGAAGAATCATTTGCTTTCTTTGCAAGGAAATAGATGCATGAAACTGCACACATCTTTCCTGGAGAGTAAAGGAAAAGTATAGTATTCAGAGCAGGGCAGGAGCCATGCTCTGATACTGCTTTGTACATTGAACCACCGATTCCCATAGATTAAAGCAAGAATTTTTGCAAATGCTGAATAAAAGCATAGCAATTTTCTGAGTAAGTGCAAGAAATGGCATTAATTATACTAATGTTATTGTCTAGCAAAGCTGCTTTCAATCATTTTTATATTCAATAGCATGCATCATCATGAATTGGTGATAAATATAGGTGAAAAAATGTAGTGATAATGAAAGTTATACAGGTGTAAATTAGAGCATATTTTTAAACTACTATGAAGTCACAGCTTCTTGAGATAACATAAAATTATAGGATATGTGCACATCCTAAATTGAATCCTGGAGAATTTTGTACTGTTTGTATGCTAGTTGATTATCATTTGAGTAGTGCTGTCTGGGAAAGTTACAAACCTCTATTTCCATAGCTTCCTACTCCAGACCTTATCCTTAACCCCAAAGAGCCAGCGTGGGGACGGTACAAGCCATTGTGTATCGGACATATTCGAGCCATGGTCACTTACTATTTGGGGAGCAGCTATGGAGGCACTGTAACCTCAGGTCCCCAGCCTCAGCCCTCTCCTCCTCAGTCCTGGAAAAGAGAATACAGAAGTAGCACCTTTAACAGAAACAAAGGCTGCTCCCAAATGTACAGAAATGGAAGGGTCAAAATCAGTAAGAGTACAACATACCTGGGCTCCTCCATCTATAGCCAGCCAGGCCCATTATGGAGATCGTAATGGTCTCAGGAAGGACTCGGTTCCATTGGCTTTGCCCCTCTCGGGGGAAAGCTCATGTAAAGGGGCCAGGGGGAATAGAAATGAGGGGCTCAGGGCTGCGTCTCTCCCACTCTTTCACTCTTCGGGATGAATCTAAGCGTCGGGAACTAACAGCATTGTACAGTACGTGTGTGTTGGAAGTGGGTGTGTTGCTAGTGCTACACCATTTAAGTGCCAGTCCGTGTAATTTTCCAGAAGGAACAGCTCTGCGGATAAACCTTCCTGTGTTGCAGAATAAAGTACAGAATAAATCCACGGCAGAAGGTTATACTCATCCCTGTGTGCTAATGAAAGGTGAATAGTCAGATTGGAAATTCTTACTGATGTCCATATGAAAAGATACTGAGACTGTAAATGGGAGGTACGGTAGGTCAGTACCTTAAAACCTGTTCAGATATCTAGGTGACCAAGCAGGAAATCAGAGCAAAAGGTTGGCATGTCTTTGGAAAGCATTGGTATGATCTGCACAATGTCTTGTATGAGTACAATGGAGTTAGAGAAAGCAAGCTGTGAGTAAGATACATCAGAGAAATGTAAAAAAAAAGGAAAAAATAGCTCGTGTGAATGATGGTTTGAAAAGTTCTGATTCTCATAGTCTTGGGAGTAGTCCTGAGTTATTACCTCTGCAATAGCTTTGGTCCCGCCATCTGTGTCAAACGGCTCCTAGCTCTTCACAACTACATTTTCTATCCCTGCAGAGACATTTTGTCCATACTGGTATCAATGGCAGCTTGAACTCAGTTCACTCTAGAACTTCACCAGTAGCATCTGCCTGATATTGGGTTGGTTTTGCAGATCAGAGTAAGGGCTCAGTCAGCAAGAAAAATGTGACATCAGCTGCAATGCCACAATGGGTGTTGATGGAGAGCTGCAAGTTGGCAAATGCTGTGCTATGGATGAGTGAACTGTGGAAGGCTGAATTACTTACGACATTTATTTGCTAATTCGTATGTTGGTTTAACAGCACCTAATAAGTGAGATTTGCTTCACAGGGAGCAAAGGGTTGGATATCAGACTGGAGACCGTCTCCCTCCGGTGCCAGGGAGGGCTAACCTCCTTACCTCTGTCTGCAGTGGCTTCAGTTCCAATGGGCCCCAACGCCCTGGACTCACGCAGCCTGACCAGGCATGGATGCGTTTCCGAAAGCTGCTACTCGTTCTCCACTTGTCAACAATAAAAGAGGGCAACGGGTGCTTCAAGTTTTCTCATATGACTTCACTGACATTTTATTCCTTGCTCGTGGCGGTGACTAGCTCTCCATGAGGAGCTCACCTGGAGCTGATTTCCACCCTGTCAGGGCCCCCATCCCTGACCCCAGGCCTCAATCCGCACATACTCTCACCCCAAGCCTCCACGTTCTCTTGCCCCAGATCTTCCTCCCCATAGCTACAACTGTCCTTGTTCCAGCAGCTGTGACTATTGCCCCAGGGTCTCCATCTGCCTCGCTAGCACTTTCTGCCTTTCCCCCAGCATACCAAAGCAGCAGAGAGAAAAAATTTCATTCTTTACCCGGAATCAAAGTCCACCAGAGTTCTGGGAGCAGGGAAAGGTGGTGGGGAGTGGCTGGAAGGGGATATTTTAATATGTAAAAAAACGAGGGCAAGAAACTGGGGACAAACTTGGGAAAGACATTCAATGTGAATAACCTAGCTGCACTGTCCCTTGCCTGAATGGATGTGACGGTAGTGTTGGTGTAGCCAATTAGTGTCGGTGTAGCCAATCGGCCTAAATGGGCGCAATTCTGCTGAATGTGTCCTAATTATTGCACAGCCATATGGGCAAAGCTGCTAAAACTGCTACATCTACTGCTGATTTCTATCTTGCCTTCCTCTCACTGCCTTTTTAGAACGCCCAAACTAGATGGTTGCACATTTATTCAATATTACACTAAGAAAGCTGAAGATTTGGTAGTCTGGGTGCACTGAAGTTAGTGCTCCACTGGAAGGGTTACCCCAGTTCCCTGCTTGTGGGCCTTATTTTCTCATGGCCTGATGGGTACGCTTGTGCAGGGCAGGGAGGAAAGTGTGGGATGGCATGGCATGACTCCACTGTCAAGCAGCTACATCTCTGTGGCACCAGCCAGTGGCAAAGGGACAGCGGTCCTGGAACACTGTCTGTGTGCTGCAGGGTATTACAGAAGCCAAATAGCTGGGCAGTGGAAGAGGAGAAGGTCCTGGCACGTTGACGTTCCTTTAGCTGCCCGTCATATATAGCTTACCAGACTATAGGAGAGAACAAAGAATCCCTGTCCCTTTAACTTATCTGGAAGGATCCTCAGAGCAAAGGAAGCACAAAGGTGCGTGGAAGGTTCCTCCTCTGCTAGCTGGGGTGAACTGTAGACAATGGACCATGCTCAAGATCATATGGGGCAAGAGTATTCATAGGAAACAGCAGAAAGAGAAATTGAGAGGGAATGAAGAGAGAGATGTATTATGAATTGACACCTAATAAACTAAAAAAATTGAAAAAGATAAGAATAAGTTATATACAAATATTCAGGTAAAAGGAAAACCAGAGAAAAGAGGAGGACAACCAATAACAGGATAAAGACTGAAAGCTGACAAGTTGCAGGTAATTCAACTGATAATTTTACAGAACACAATACATTAATAAAACCTCCATGCCTGTATCAATTACTTGCTCTGCTTAGAGTTACTTAGAGGGCTCTCATATTGCTTATATTTGAAATGCTGTAGTACCTTTTGATTTTATGTTGTGAACTACATAGTCTATTTTGTCTGGACTTTGTACAAAGTATCCCAAGGAAATAATTGTTGAATATAACACCATGAATCTTTGATTTTTCAGGAGCTGTTTAAATGTTTCCCCAGTGATAGAAACAGTAAGATGCTTAGCTGTTGAGAGAGAAAATCTGCGTCTTTGCAGTTGCGGGTAGAGAATTTGGCTGTCTCCATGCAAGCGTCTCTCTTTGCAACTTGGTTGTGCTTGTGTGTGGACTTAGGGCAGTATAACTGTATGCTCTGCGTAAGGTGGAGTCCAACCAGGCTGTGGAGCAGCATTTGGGGTGTATACATATATTCATGTGTCTTTAAAGGCCTTTCCTATGTTCTTTACAGCTGAGGCAGTTCTTAGGACGGGGAGGCTGAAGCTAACAAGCAGCAGTAATGCAGACTGTGCGAGGCTGACAGGCTGGGGAGGGCATGGGCTGAGCTGATGGAGAAGGAGGGGGTCAGGGCAGCAAGCCACGCGTTGATCTGGCTCATCCGCTGCACCGGGTGGTGAATACGGTGCACACTTGTTGGATTGGGAGACCTCAAGGGAGCATTTCAGCTCTTTCATCTGATACGTCTTTAGTAAATCTTCTGTTGTTATATGCAGTTACATGGAACTAAAATTAAGTGAAGTACAACATTATGTTTGACAAAGTACTTGCAAGATTAGCAGTATTTTACTGTCAGTATTTTTCATTAAGCAAATTTCTTCTCTGGGAGCGGGGGCCTGTAGAAGAATATTCCAACAAAAAACTTTTATCAGGCAAAATGGGTCTAATGCTTTTCTTCCCTGTCTCCCAGAATATAAACTGCAGCTGTTGGGAATAATGATAAAGCTTTGGCTTTCATTAGAAATATACTGCTCTTAGAAAACTGCCTATTGCACAGTCTATTCGACACAGAGGCTAGATGCGTGTGTACAGCGGGTGCTGGATGTGTACCGAGGCGAAGGAACATGCAAAGAGGGTAGTGATATGTGCAAAGTAGCTGGAAAGAGGAAAGGCTGGAGGGCTTTATTTATGAGATATGGAAAGGAACATGGAGGTGTAGGAGTAGGAGGGAATGTGAAGTATCCCTGGGTATATGCACAGGAAGGAAAGAGAATTTAAGTTATTTTCTATTTGTGCAAAGGAAGATCGGAGCTCGGGGAAGTTGTGTGCTTGCTGGGACTGCTGGCACCCCAGCACGTAGCACATGCACACAGCATGTAGCAACACTGTGTTGCTAGCTGATGATCCCCTATGCCCTGCAGTCTCAGAGTATTCCCAGGTCACAGCAGTGAAGCTAATCATGAATATGCTAACTTTAAAAAAAAAAAAAAAGGATGCAATGCTGCACAGCTTTAAATCTCTGGAATGATCCCATGGTAACACTGTCTCCGGGCATCTTACGTATTCAGATACAACAATTAAAATAATGTGATATAAAAAAAGACAGTCATAATCATGAAGTTTGGGAACACCACATGCTTGAGCTGCGTTTGCCAAATATGTGTGAAGGGGCTCGGAGGATGTGACCAAGTGAATTAATTGTTCACACTGATTCAAAATGAGAAAGGAAGCTGGAAGGACAGAACAAAACATACAGACCAGTCATAAAGCAAGTGGTAGAGGCCACGCATTGTCCTTGTATACCAGTCAGGGTGGCTCTGACCAGTATACACAGCAGTCGCAAGGAACAGGCTATTCTGTATGCACGCTGCCCAGTATGGGGCTTGTTTTCAATGAGATGTATAAAATAAGATGTAAAAGCCACATTGGTTTGTACTGGCCAAGGTGGGACTTGCCACTTGCCTTGGGCATACGCGTATAAAATACCCTGCTGGTTGTGTAGGTAAGTTCAAACTTTCCTTCCGAGAGACCTGAAAAAGCCTTGATGCTGCATCCAGCTTGTTGTCATTTTTTGGGGCCCTTCGCCTGTTTATCTAGTGTGTTGGGGTGAAGGTCTCTCAGACTACAACTAGTCCAACATGGATTTGATTGTAAGCTGTTATGTGGTATTGATTTACACGTATGTAAAGGCGGGGGGGAGGAGCTGTGTAATATCGTGAGTGCAAGAGGAATCAAAATCAAACCACACAATACCTATGTGAGATAAAGAGGGTTACTGTCCTCTATGCCATTAATGTTTTTTGCTATTTACTGTTCCAGAAAGGGCAGTAGTGGTACTTTATCAAGCCTCCTTAGCATTTCTCGATGTAACTCAACATATTCTGTTGCCTGTAATTCTGCTGGTCTCTCATCTGCAATTCTCACTTCAGTAATTTGGCTGACTGCTTTCCCTCACTGAGTGTTGATTTCTCCTGAGGCACATGCTGACCACTTCTTCTTCGTTGCACTTGGGGTTTTTTTTCTCCCACAGAATTCTTTAAAATTCACTGTCATCTCTCAATGCAAAATTAGGAAAATCGTGGTTGTTTGAATAATTTCTCTCATTGTTCCAGACTGTCTGAAAGGTAGAGTGAAAACCTGGAAGTTGGCAGAGGAATAACTCTAACAACAGAGACTATTGGTTAAGGTTGGGTAACCAAAGCAAAGTAATAAGCATGGAAGTTCTCTAGTTCTTCCTGCTCAGGAGAGCTCCTCACTTTGCTACTGAAATGTCTGATCATTTCAAATCTCCTGTCTCCTCAGAGCTTCTCAACCACTCTCGTCCACTGCTGAGACACTGCCACATTGGTCAGAAGAGTAAGAATGAATCCTCCTTATGTTTTCTGTCCCCCAAATATCTTTACATTACTTCCAACAACAGACTTCTGGTGAGGATTCTCTCTACTTATCAGCTCCTCATTGCACAAAAGTACCACTATGGAGCCCATCACACCTTCCCTGCTGTGTGAGGTCAATATTTGTGTGTTCTTCACATTCCGCAATTTTAAGCAAAGCCTTAATCTTCTCACAAAAGAATGAGGGCAGCAGTTATCCCAGGGCAGCCACACGGGCCAACTGAGAGTGCATTGGGTCAGCAGTGCGGCGGGTGGGCAGTGTACGGTGACTGGCAGAGTGAAGGAGTTTCTCTGGGTCTTCGGGGCTCAGACAGGACCTAGAGTCCATCTAAGACCCTGGTAGCAGTGTGGGTGGCACTGCGTGGATGTTTCTGGAATGCAATGTGACGTATGTGCTATATTTGTGTGGAGGAGCTTGGGTGGATGGGTTGTGAGGAGGAGTGGAGGATGGGTTGTAGGCGTGTGACTATGGAAGATGGCAACTCCAAAGTGGCCTAGTGGTGGCTGGAAAATGTCTCAGCAGCTGTTAGGATTATTGGGAGGTGCCTATTATGTGCTGAGAAAAGATGGCTGTAATATTTGTTATATCCCCACAATTTTATCTTTCCAGAGAGGGAAAATTGACTTGCATTGTCAGCATAGCTTTTAATGGATTCCTGTGAATCAGATGCATACTGTAAGCACTTGTCAGTCTTGTGTTTTAATGAGTATATAAGAAAAGGCAGGCACTGGGACGTCACAAAATTTAAGAAAAAACAAATCAAGGAGGATCTTTTGTGTTTCTCTTTAACACACATCTTCTCCGAATATCTCAGAAACTTCACCCTCATGTGCTGAAATGGGTGAAAGCCTGGATTTTCTGAGACTAGCAGAGTCCATGAAAATCTCCACTGATCGAGCGACTGACTGCACTGACCTTTCTCTGAAGTACTTGATGGCTTCCTGGTCTAGGAAGTTCTGCTCTTCTCGAAAGCCCTGCTCAAAGATTTTGCGCTTGTGTCTGAACTCAATGACAGTCTTAGTGTAAGAGTTCAAGGTAGTAACGGAGGCCGCCATGCAGCAGGTGAAAGAGCCCCATGCCAGACTGTGGAGAGAGAAACCAGCAGACAGAGCTGGGTTAAGACAGCAGCTCATGTTATATTTCTGACGCCAAGAGACACACATACACAGGATGCGACTAGGCAGGTCAGTCAGTGGTGACAAACCCATTCTCCTCATCTTACCTCAAATGACCTGTGGCACGTGCTCAGGCATGCAGGCAGGATGCTGGGCTAGGGTCTGGACACAACTGTCATCCCATGGAGAACTTTCTGTCAGAGTGCTAACATGAACACGCAGTGCACTCTGACAGAAGGGTCAAACGCCTCTTGGTTTCCCTTTGAAATGTTTCAGAGCCTTGCAGATAGGTGCTAGAACCTATAGAGCAGTAATGAACTCCCGGAAGGAGTAATGCCCCAGAGAGCATGTCTTTTGGACCGGTGGAAGTTCTGCAGCATCCACAGGAGGCTGACTGCACAGTGCTACTGCAGGGATGGTTTCTATTCCATTTTACATGCCTTCATCAGACTACTGTATTTCCTTCTTTCCTGGTTCATGGACATTTCTAGCATTCCTGGCTTATAGCTGGTCTCAGAAAGCCTGACCAGAATAGAAGAGAGCACTTCCATTTTGTGGAGAGGTCCAGTGTGAGGGCAGTGCCCCGAGTGTGCAGGCAGTGCTGGCTAGTCTTGGTCAGACAGTGGCAGCACACTTGCAAGTACCAACCAGGAGCACAGGGAGACAGAGAAGAAAGTGGAAGGAAAAAACTGACTGCCCCAATGCCAGGCTGGAGCAGCAGCAAGTGTTGTCCTGGGTCTCCTGGTGAGGAGAGTTCAGCTGGGAGCTGCTCTGCTCCCTGCTCGTGGACTGGGTTTCCCCCCCGGTGCCTTCTGCCCCTCCCTGCACACCTCTCCTCCAGCCTGTACCTGACTGATCTCTGATTCAGATGTGGCTGGGAGGAACTCGTGTCCCCAAGGAGTTTAGATGCTTTATGAGCATGAAATGGGGCTACAAAAAAGGCACTGAATTCCTCCTTTTGTCTGCAAAGCTTGTCTGCGTTCAGGCTCCCCTTGACTTCACATTCAGCCCATCAGCTCCAGCTACCTATAGTTCACAGTGGCTTCTTTATTAAATGTGGATTAACTTAATCACCTGTGTCAGCTACACACTTTACCTGCTCCTTGCTTTCACCTCTTCTATAACCAAATTGAACACTGATATAAATTATGCAGAACAGAAAGAATACAGCCACAGTAGCATTAGCTTATAAATACTCATTATCAACAGAGCCCTCAGCATGAGCTGTTTTCCCATTCTGCAAAGGATCTGCAGACAAGGAAATAGTTTCTCATTTCAAATTAGACAAAACCTGAAAAAAACCACATATTCATGAAAAAACTGGGGGAAAAAATGGCTCAAGTAAACAGAAATGGCTTATTTCAATGATTTCAAAATTCAGTGCATAACAAGTCCTTTAGGGACTCCCGTGGCAATGAAGCGTGTGGAGGAAGCCCTTTCCTAGCCATTTTTGAACCCTTTGCCAGGTGCAATCAAATGAGAAGGAAGTGTAGTGAACCCTGGTGTGATGAAGTTCCCTTAGGTTTCCCACAGTTGGGCGAAGTGGAAAGGAAACCCGTGCTATGTGCGAGTGTCCAGGCACAGGGAAGCCTGGGAAGTGTCTTCCTCCGACACGGACTGTGTGGAAAAGCTCCAAACAGTTCCAGCTGGGCCCCTAAACAATATCAGGGAAGAAGCCAGCTGAAACCACATGCTTCACTGTGCCTGGCTGGTGCCTGGGGAATGACATACGGAGAAAAATTTCTCTTGAAAGTTGCTGATAATTTCTAATCATTAACTCAGAAATGCTGAAAGGTTCAGAGAAGAAAATACAGAATGAAGACTCTCAACGTGACCTCAGGTCTGGCATTTGGTAAATCATAATAATGAGACAATTATGACTGATATGTTTTAGGTTTTTTATGAACCTTGGTTAAATGTTACTTATTTTTTTAGCATAAAGAGTGATTCTCCTACCTGTAAGAGTTACAGCCTACCTTAGGTGGAGACCTGAAGACCTCTTTAACAGCAGTGCCCCTCCATGCCTCAGATGTGGTGGGACTGTACCTGTAAGTACCTCTGGTAGCTGAGCTGAGGGCTGTGCTCTCAAGATCCTTTGTGGCTCAAACAGGTCTGTTTTTTAAAAATTTGTTTTCTTTCTAGAGGGGCTGAGCTTGAATATCCACTGCTCCTCAGAGCCACTGAAACGCCCTGCCCGGAGAATCCCCTGGCCCACCCCTGGTTTGTGCCGGAGCACAGACCAACCTCCAGGCTTTGCCGATGGCTTGGGAATGGGGTAAAATAACAGGGACCAAGCAGTGCGTTTTCATCCCTGGGATATCTGGTCACAAGCAGCTCCTCCTCATTTTGAGGAGAGGTATTTTTACCACTCCCTTTTGATAGAGGGGAAATAGAGTCACAGAAAAAATAGTTTTCCCATTGGCACTTGGGAAACGAATGGTACTCGAGATCTCCTGCCCTTTGGCTCTTGGCCCTGGGGAGGCTGTTCCCTGGCCCCACTTTTCAGAGGTGTTACAGTCCTCTGTGCTCCGGCAGGTTGTCCAGCAGGATGCTGCAGTGGTACATTTTACAGAAGGCTGTAAATAACGCTGATGTTTGCACTGGTGGTTCAGGGGTATTTAAAGCTCACGCTTCGGGCCATCACCTGAACCCACATGGAGCAAAAAGAAATTCCTGCACATGCAGAGTTTCCAAGCTCCACCAGGCTGGGTGGGCATTTGTTTTTAACCCTCTTTAAAGAAGGTGTTCAAGTCTGGGCGATGCCAGGGGAGGCTGTAGCTCTCCAGTCCGTAGTGGCTCAGCGGTAGCTGGAAGGAAGAAGCCTTGTTTTTGCCGCAGGGGATGCGCCGTCCGCCCCGGGACAAAGCTGTGGTCAGGACGGCAGGCAGCGCCGCCG